AATACATACATACATGCATACATACATACATATACATATATATATATATATATATAAGAAGAAATGTAGGATGACTGAAAGTGAACACTTTCTGTCGTCCTTTTACAATCATCGGCCTGAGATGATTATGAAAACAACGTGGAACAGGACCATAGATTTGTCCATCCGAGCAATGTCACATTCAACATTACAAGTAATGTCTAAGAGCAGCTCTATTGTTCTGTTCCCGTTACATAATACTCTTAGAAGGCAAAACCTTCCCGAATATATATAAATATATGCGTGTGTGCAATAATCCCACTCTAAGTAAGTTGTATCTTTGCAGATTTGAGCATAGCATGTTGTGAATCTATATATACGCGCTATGACCGTATCAAACAAAACGAAGTATGCAAAGCTGGCCATTTACAGTACTCTAATAATTGTTTGAACAAACTGTTTCTAACGTACCATCTCACCAAATATCATATGGCTTACTAAAATTCAAACAACATCGAATGTTTACGTTCGCTCATTCCCAGGGTGAAATGTCTACTGCCTCTCGAACGGATACGCCATTGCACAACAACGAGGCTAAAGACCGTGTACATAGAATATACTATGATCCACTGGACAAGAGATTAAGAGAAAGGGCCGGTAGTGTTATTGATACAGAGAATGAGGGTAGGCGGATGGTGCCGCATATAACCTTAACGATGCCATCCATGGATACGAATATGGAAAAGTAGTTCCTTCAAGTATATAAATACAATGACAAACTTTATTATTAACTAACTGTCTGTTTCTTTTAAATTACATACTGGTGCTATCAGATAAAATCGCATTTTAAAATACGAAGTGCACCCGTTGTGCGATCAACATCATTTCACCTACTATGGCAACAAGAAGCGGTTCAGCCGTCCGGTATAAGTGCTGTGTCTTGAGATCGAATACTAGATCGGATGTGTGATCGAACGTGTAAATTCAATTGGACAGTTTATATAAATAATAATAAAAAGTGCTTTAATAGATCGCTATCAAGGTTCGAGCATGCGCAGTGGATATGGGAGTCTATTCGTCCTGTAAAGAGGTAAGCTGATTATAAAGTGATGTTTATAAAACAGCAAATTAAAAAAATACGAACACATATCGGTATTTGGGGTGTTATTATCCTACTACACGGTAAAGTTTGGCACTGGTTCACAAGCGTCAGACTTTCCTTCGAATTCGACGAGCCTTTAAAATGGTCCGAAGGATCTGAAGCTAGTTAATGTGTATCCAACGTATCGTGGGTGGAGATATGTAAACAACTCCTGATGTTAGGAAATGTATTAGAAGCGTCCTCTATACTTGCTATGTCGTCTAACCGCTGACCAGTATCAGACAACGACAAAAGTTGTGCATCAACCATAACAGTGCGGGTCTAAAGGAGATTGAACAGTGTGTGGATTGAGAGCTTCCAGTCGCTTCGAAACTACATACTGAAGTGAGGCATGAATATAGTATGCATAAATAGTAAACAATAGAATGTACAAATGATATGTAGATGTAGTACGTGCTGTACATGCTGAAAAATCCACATGCTATGTGACGTTGACGATATATGATATTGACAATTGCTATGTGCATAGCCATCTTGATAATCCCGGAGAAGGCCTTGTTGAGGAAAAAGAAATCTAATGTCAAGGCCTAATATACATCGATGTTGGATATTGACGAAATCACAGGACACAGGGCGGCATAGAAACTTCAGTTTGCACTCCACTGTTGCTATGACATATGTACATAACGAGCTCAAGGGTGCAACGTCAGAGGCTCAGAGAGAGAAGCCCCAGTCTCCCCCAGGGCCCTGGCCCCAGAGTGGCAAGGGCCAGTCTGTCAGTTATTTTTTTTAAATATTTATCACCAAAAAAAATAGTTTTTAAAAACAAAACAAAACAGAGGTAGCCTAAATACATAAAAACATATTTGCATCACAAATAAAAACATAAATACGTTCTACGTTTATGATACACGCAAATATTATTTAGCGGTTTAGCCTCTCACAATTTCTACTATTTTCGAGAGAGAGAGACACTGTGAGTCTGTGACTGGACAGAGACGTCAGCGGTCAGAGAGTGTGTGTGACTGACTGACTGACTCTAATGCCAGCAGTGAGTAGCTGAGTGTAGGCAGTAGGCCAGCAGCTGATAAAGACTGAATGCCTGATCTTAACAACGTGAAAGACAGACGTCTCACGACAACGGACAAATACTGAAAAATATAATAAATGCTTTCAGTGCAGTAAAATACAGCTGACAACCACCCTTTTTTTTAAACATTTAAAAAGGATATTATCTCTACTCACTCTACTATTATTTATTTAGATAAATAGTAGTATTTAGAATCTACTAGCATCATAGAGAGAAAGTCTCTCTACTAGTCTCAGGAGAAGGATACATAAACAGTTTCAACACCAGCCTCCAGCATTAGCAAGCCACCACCAACTCACAAATTCACCAACACTCACACACACACAAGAGTAGAAGAAGTTCTCAACAGAGAACAGTCAACAGACCGACCTGTTGAAGCTATTCAATTCCAGTCACTGTACCCTGTGCCACTGTTCCACTGTTCTATTCTTCCTGAGAGAGGGTTAAATTGAAAACAGATGATGAGTCCCAAGTCCCAAGTCCCAAGTCCCAATTCCCACGGCCACGACTCCCACATATGTCGACATATCATAGTTATTTGTTTTTTATTTCTAAAAGGTACGTTTCTGGGGCACTGGCTGAACTTGTGAGCAACTGTTTAATGATAAAAAAAATTAAAAATTACTAAATAAAGCCCATTAAAATAACTCTGATCTAAAAAATACCCCCAGACTCGGAGACCACCAGAGTCCCAGCCAGATTCCAGACCCCAGTTCATAAATATAGAGGTGTTCTGTATTTATCACTATTCTGTGTAAAAAAAAACATCACTCATCACTGTGAAAAGGCAAAGATTTCCCTCGTCCAATGAATCTGATCATTCTGATGTCAGTCGTCACTCGTCGGAGTTCAGACTGTATAGGGCTTCACTCTTCAAACTTTGCTTTTAAAAAATTATTTTATGTCATAAATGATCAGTGTGCCACTGTGCCTGACTGCCTGTGGACTCACTTGAGTGATATTGAGTGATCCAACTTCCAGTGATCAGTGACCACTGACATCTGACCACTAATACGGCTGGTGGGAGACTGT